CAAGGCCACTCATACACACGAAGGCGCCAAACACAGACACAGCCGAGAGCGCCAAATCGGCGGATTTGCTCGAGGGAGGAGACCACAGCCGACTGACAATCGCCTGTCGGCCGTAATACTCGGCCGCTGCGGTGGCCATTGCGATGACATAGGATGTGCCGTTGTTGAGGAGGAACGAGTCGTAGGAAAGGGCGGCTGGGTGGACGAGAGCCACGAAGAGATACTCGACGAAGTGAAAGGCCACTAAGGAGAGCAGAAAGAGGGACTCGGGATATAACGTGGCAAAGACAGCGGGATGGACGTAATAGCCAAAGAAAGCACCCAATAAACCACACACAACCTGGCACACACACAGCAATCATTGTGACTGTGCGCAGCCGGACTCCCCTCGTTCGCGCACCAGGCACACAGTCGGCGTCCATCGGCTGCTCACTGCCTCATAAGGCACCGACCCGCCGCACAGGAGCATCAACCAGAAGGCACCAGATGCCATCCAATGGCAGCCGTGGACAGTACTGGCCGGTGCGAAGGACAACAGCACAGAGATGAGTGCCCCGCTGGAGAGGAAAACCGTGACGCTGTCGAGCGCCACTGCCATTGATGAGATGCCATGGAAGGTGTGAAGGGCTGAATGCATCAGGACAGATAGATCACGTCGTGGAGCTCTCTGTCGCCTGCGCCTGCAAGGCACGTCGTTCTTGCAGATGTATGGACGACAGATCTCGGCACACGGCCGTCAGGACGGGCTGATGAGGGATCAAAGGGTTTGTTACCCTATAGCCCCACGGCCATGCAAGATTTGTGTTTTGAGCTTGTGCTGCCTTCCTGAGACAACATGAGCTTCGGTAGATCTGATCTGCAGCCATCACCTGATCTGCCATCATATAGTTCAGTCGCCTGTGATGGCTGCATCGCTGAACCGCCTTGACGGAGCCCAAGTGGATGGATGACGGTGGTGAGCTGCAGACGAAGAGGACGACAGCCATGATGATAGCAGAGTGCTCGCCAGGAAGGGGTCAGCTCGCCTGCCTCACATCTCGAAGATCTATCTCACTCGGGCGTATCTCTCTCTGCTCTCCTCTCGACCGCTTCCCTCAGCGATGACGAAGGACCGGAGGATGACAACGAAGGCGCCACTGCCCAGACAACTCACGGTGCTCATCCATCCATCTCAAGCAGCACCCCCCCTCAGCCACCAACCCAGCCCAACTCGCCAGCAAAGCCAACGCGCCCTCTCATCGGATTCTCGTCCGTCCGCCGCTCTCTCGGCAGCTGCCCCTCTCCATCCGACAGCTCTCTTTCTCACAGCAACTGACCGACTGACACGTGCCGATGGCCCGACTTACTGCCTTTCTTCTGGTGCTGTGTGTGGCGGCCCTGCTGATGCCCTTGGCGGCCTCCCAGAGCAGCAGCTCTCATCAGTACGGCCATGGCAGTGGCTATCAGCCTGACTATGGTGTGTGCCACAAGAAGGAGCCAGTGCACTACGAGTGCCCCCACGGCTACACATTCGATGACGACAGCCACAAGTGCGTCAAAGATGAGTACGGGGAACTCATCTACTACTGCCCAAAGGTGAGTGAACCGGCACACACAGATGGATCGCAACAATCGTGTTGCTGATATGTCTGTGTGTTGTGTGTGGTGCAGGGCACCAAGGAGGCCCATGATGGTTCGTGTGTCAAGTATGACTACGCCGACAAGACGCCCTACTGCAAACACGGCAAGCTGGATGATGCCGCCCACAAGTGCATCGACCACCAGTACTATGACGTCGGCTACAAGTGCCCCCACGGCTACTCGTTCACTGCTGATGAGACCAAGTGCTACGCCGACAAGTACACTGCCAAGCTCTATAAGTGCCCTTATGGCTACGAGCTGACCACTGACAAGAAGAAATGCATCAACCACACCTACGCCGACCTCAAGTATTACTGCCCAAAGGTGGGTGGGGTGGGGTGAACGTCATAACAGACACGCCAGTGGATGTGTGTCATTCCCTCTCTTGTGTGTCTGTGTGTGTCTGTCAGCATTCGTATGCCACGGCCAAGGGCTGCAAGGTGACGACTTACAAGGACAAGGTGGCCTCATGCCCCCACGGCCACCTGGAGGGCGGCAGGTGTGTCGTCATCAAGCACAGCTACTACTCCTATTACCCCAAGTGCAAACACGCCTACTCATTCCACAACCACAAGTGCGTCCTCAAGACCTTCCATGACGCCCACCGCAAGTGCCCCTATGGCTTCTCGCTCACCGCCGACCACAGCAAGTGCTATGTGGACAAGTATGTGGCCAAGAAGGCCAGGTGCCCCCACGGCTACAAGTGGAGCAAACACGAGAACAAGTGCATCAAATACGACTACGCCGACCTGCAGTACTACTGCCCAGAGGTGAGACCGAGATCAGCACGACGCACAGAGTGAGGCACTTACGTCTGTGTCCGTCTGTGTGTGTCCATTCAGCACTCTGTGTTGACGCACAAGGGCTGCAAGTCGACTACATATGAGCACAAGACGCCCTACTGCTCACACGGCCATCTCGAGGGCCATAAGTGTGTCGTCAAGAAGCACTACGACATCCACTATGAGTGCCCCCACGGCTATCAGCTGACCAAGGACGGCACCAAGTGCTACGCCGACACCTACTATGACAAGCTCTACAAGTGTCTGTCGGGCTATGAGCTGACTGAGCACGACAGCAAGTGCGTCAGCTACCACTATGCTGACGTGGCCTACAAATGCCTGAAGGGCAAACTGACGTATGTCGGCTCACAGCCCATTTGCTGCGTCGACCACTATGGCCACGGCAGCAGCACCAACTTCAGGGGGGCCAACAGCTACCGCTAGGATAGAGAGGGGGACGGGTGGGCTGCCTGCTCTTTCCATGTGTCTGATGTGTCTATGAATAGAGTGAAGCCCTGTGTGCCCGTGTTGTTCTGTCACATATGTGTCGTGCCCTTCTTTGCTATGTGTCTTTCGTGGGTTGTGCTTTCGTCTTGTTGACTCCCATAGTGTGGCTGGGCGGGCGGGCGGGCCGTGATGAGCGTCGCGTGTGTGTGCGGTGTTTGTTTCGTCATGTACCTATCATCTTGTGTGGGTGCTTGTCGATACATGCAGACAGTCACCGAGACAGCTGTGTATATGTCTGTCTGGCTGTCTGTCTGTCTGGCTGTCTGTGCAGAAGCAAGTGTTAGTTAACTGAACCAACCATCCATCTCTTCCATGTTGTTGCCTGAGGGACCTCAACATTGGACGTGAAAAGCCGTCATAAGGCTTCCATGCAGCCGCGCATAAATGTGCGTGTCTACCGCTCCGCCCCCTCCTCCCCACTCTCGCCCTCCAGCTGGCCGTCCACAATGTCGCCCTTCCCCTCGCCATCGCTGCCGATATCATCATCTGCCCCTACATTTGTCTCAACCTCAGCGGCCTGCACCTCGAGGCCCACCGCACGCTGTGCGTCGACGCGATCCCGAGAATGGTCGAAAAGAAACTGGATTGCCTGAATGAATGAAGCCAAGGCCGCGCACTGACAGTCACTATTTGCCTCGTGTCCCTTGTCGCCACGTGTGTGCCTTGCTGGATGGCTACCCGCATGGCGATCTGCACGTCATTGTGTGCCTGCAGGTCAACTATCTTGTCCACACCGCCGGCCTGCATGGAAGTCAGAGAAAGATAACCGTGGTATGGTGTGGGCGCATTCTCCCGTTCGCTCACCTGCTCTAGTAGTGTGTGGTAGGGGTTGTTCGGGAGGCCCTCGTTGGCCTGCTTCTGCTCACCCGCACTGATACACACGCACGACACGCGAGCAGCAGGCAATCGGTGAACGGTGCACACACACTATCGTTGTGTGTGTTGCGTGCTAGTACCATAATATCTTGTCCAGCGACATGATTGTGATCACTCGACTGTAATCGTGGATGTCGATCAGGTCACAGATGGGCTGGATGCCGCCACACTCAACCACATACTCAACCTGCATGGAGAGAATGAATTGACATACACACGGGCTCAAACAAAGGTGACCCATCGGAGTGTGGGGCTGTTGACTAGTCAGCGCGCCCACCTGTTGCTGCGATCCTCCTAAGGCTATGTTTGCGACGGCCTGCCCTGCCACACGCTTCAGGTTGCCATGGGTCTCCCCGTTGGAGGCCACATCGACCAGCAGCGGCACCAAATCAGCATCGATGACGGCCTGCCGGTGGGCAGTGGTGCCTGCATCCAATCCACACACCACACACCACACAGCACCCTACACGTGACGTTCCTCGATGCAGTGGGTTAGTGAACATTTGTCTCACCTGCCGTGGTGAACCTGAGGAGCAAACCCGCGATTCCCTGTGCACCAACCTCGGCTGTCTCGATCAGCGTTTTGATCGAGGCCATGGCGCCACACTCCACCAACGCGTCACGGCCAGCGTCGGTACCTGAGCACATGGGCAGGAAGGTCAAAGCGGACCCTGCATCTCAGGACGATCTCCAAGCCCATTCCCAGGCTCTCTTGCACACTGACCGTCTTCCCCAACACACGACCTCGCGAAGAGCCTCAAAGCCGCTCGTGTAGGCTGCGGCACGAGCTCGTCCTGCTTAGTCGTGCAAATGAGGCCGACCAGGATGGGCACGAAGGGGGCGAACTCGGCCAGTGGGGCAGGGAGGGGCGAATTCGCGGAGACATCCAACAGATCGCTCAGTAGACAGGCGCCAATGGCGAGCACCTGGCTGTTGCTGCTCTCGCGCATCGCCTTCAGCAGCGGCTCCAGCACGCCGGCCGCCACCACGGCATCGCGACGGGCCACCGATCCGACCGTGATGCTGCGCAGCGCCGCGATGGCCGCTGTGCGCACATCGTCATCGGGTGACGACACGAGCTGCACCAGGGGCAGGACGGCACCAGCATCCACCACCGCCTCGGCGTGGTGAATCGCCAGTCCGCTAAGGAACAATGCCGCAATTTTCTGCACCTCGTCGCATCCGCTCAGCTGCTCGACCAACACCGGCACCAGGCCGATGTCGACAGCCTTCTGCCCCTTGGCACCCTCCAGGTGCTCGATGGTCAGCAGCTTCCACAGCTGCATCATGGCGTGAGTCCGAAGCTGCTGCTGATCTCTTGTCGACGCCATCAGGTTGCGGAGGTCGGCCATGACGGCGGCGATGTCGGTCTCGACGGCATCCAACCCCCGCTGCTGCACTTGGTGGTCATAGGCCTCCTTGGTGTGAATGCCATCGAAGAGTCGTGCCGCCTTGACGAGTACTGCCTGGGGCAAGGGATGCTCATCTCTGGTGCCGACGGCGTCCGATCTACTGCCCGCCGACCCCATCTGACCCCACAGCTGCGAAGAACAAGACACATACACACAATTTAGACTGCTTCATGGTCAATCTTTTCGTCTCTCTGTACCTGGTGACGTGCTCAGCGGCCCTTGACTTCGCTGCTGAATGAACGGTACCGCTGCCGCCCTGCTCTGTCGACCGGATCTCAACAGCTCACGCCTGCAGAATAAGTGAGCACCACGAGCTGCGATAGATCATCTGGGCTGCCCGTGGATGCCTTGCCTTCTGGTCCCCGCTAATGGCTGCTCACTCACCGACACAGATCTCCTCCGCAGCGCGCGAGATGGACGCGGCCCGGCAGCATGCGAGGCACTCAACGCTAAACTAGAATGGAACAGGCGTAACCTAAGGTCTGGCGGCTCACGAGAACGGCGTGGAAAACTGCCAGCGTTCTCATCTTTCATGTAGCTCGCATCGTTCGATCGTCCTGGGAGGAGCCCTTTCCCCTGTTTCCATGCTCGTGAGGCTTTCCAGAGGGCAGCAGGAGCCCAATCAGACACAAAGTGATGGTTGGAACTCATCGGTGAGGCGTATCGCACGGCATCATCTGGCGGCTCTGACGGTGCGGCGAGCAGTGCGATAGGAGAGGGAATGCCGGATGACTGATCACTCAAGAGGTCTTCTGTCTTCGGTTTGTCTGACAGGTCGGCAGCATGAAATGGCCGCAGCAGAGAGGTGCGCACGACTCTCACACAACAGCACACGCACTCAGAGGTCTTTTGTGATGTCTGTCATGTGTTGCAGCCGTGTTGGTGGATGGGATGGTCAAGAGAGCATCACGGCTGGGCTGCCGCGACGCGACCATCCTGCGGGCGGTGCGGCTGCTAGACGTGTGCCGCGCCGACAAACTCATCGACACGAACAACGCCACACAGGCAAGAGATACGAAGGGAATGTCAGTCAAGCAACGACTCGTGGAACTCGTGTGTGTTTGTGTGTCACTTGCCTGGCTGCTCACACACAGATAGCAGATGCGTGTGTGGCCGCCTGTGTCAAGCGGCTGGAGCCACACCTGCTGATGGACGACATGCCGGATGACTCAACACACACACAGGTAGTGAAACAGACACGGACACCCACACGACGCTCACCTGTGCAGCGCCGACCTGTCTGTCTGTCTGTCTGTCTGTCTGTCTGTCTGGCTGGCTGGCTGGCTGGCTGGCTGGCTCTGTGTGTGCAGGTGGTGTGTCGTGTGGCGGTTGATACTTCTGTGTGCGGCATTGGGTGTCTGGAGGGGCTGTTCGCTGCTGCCGGCATGGACACCCATGGCCGCCTGTTCTCATTCGCCAAGTACCTCATGGTCAGTCTGTCCGCCAGCCACACACACAGACGCCTCCAGCTATCGAATGACTTTCCCTGTCTGTCTGTCTGTCTTTGGTTCTGTGTGTGCAGTTCTTGTCGATGTGTGACATCAATTTGGCCGCGAGCGATGTCCGCCTGCTGGCCGCCACGGCCGTTTACGTCACACGCAAGACCAACCAGAAACACATAGCGGGCCGCATTTGGGTGAGCCTAACAGTAGCAGCACGGGTCATGGCCTACCTATGGCCTGTATGGGTTTGTGTGTCCCATTGTTCATTGTCAGAGTGCGGCCCTTGTGGCTGAGAGTTCGATGAGTGAGGCGGCGTTGCAGTCTGGCATGATGACACTGAGGATGCAGCGGCTCATGTGGGGCGACACACAGACCACCAAAGGGGTGAGCATGTCAGAAGACCAGTAGAACCGCCAACACAGCACCGTGTTGATGTCGTTGTGTGTCGTTTGTGTGGTGTGCGCGCAGGTCATGACGGATGCAGTGGATGAGCTGTTCGCCCCGGCCGACCGCCACGGCGTCGCATCGACCCGCAGCCACACACAACAAGAGCAGCAGCAGCAGCATCGGGTGCGTCTGACACAACCGACCGCCATGCACCCGATGTGCCTTGAGAATCGACCTGCATTGTTACGTGTGTGTTGATCTGCAGGGGGGGAACCAGGAGCACCCCTTCACCCACCTGTTCGCCGAAGACCGCTGCCGCATCCCGGACATCAGCACCACACTGCAGCTGAGGGTATCAGGCCGGTGCATCAGAGAGGCCTTCTCATCTGCCCAGCTGCGCAACCGACTCGACCACTCACTGAGCCGTGATGGCGATGGCGGCATCAACACCCCACAGCTGCAGCTGCTGCGGTTCGACCCATCGCTGTGTGTGGGCGACCTCATGGCGGCGGTGTGGATAGCCGAGGAGCCAGGAGCGCGGCGGAAGTGGGATGGGACAAGAGAGACCCTGCAGTGGGCCAGTGAGTGCGGCTTCTGTCAGCTGCCCGTCATGCTCACCAGTGCTGACATCAACAGACACGCCAACAAGACGGTAAGGCACACACACACAGGGGCGGGGATACAGCAGAGAGGCCTCATCCTCTCTCTCTCTCTCTCTGTGTGTGTGTGTGTGTGTGTGTCTGTGTCTGTGGTGGCGTTTAGGCGTATAGATCGGTAGCTCGTGTGTTGGCGCAGCTCACGTTGGTGGGCCGCCACATCGACTTCGGTGGCGGCAGCCGCCTGCAGATCGTCCGCCATGCCAATGGTGAGGTGCGGGCCATCAAGGACGAGCCCGGCTTCCAGGTGGACGTCGACCCGCCCCTCCCCGCCCACCATCTGTGTCGGCAGCACCGACAGCAGCATGACCCACCGATGACCAGCGACATCCACTAGCGGGACGCCAGATGGGTGTCGTTCGGTCTCCCGACCACCTATGCGTCATTGTCATCATTCGCCAAGCGCACGATCCTCAACCACTTCTACTGGACTCACCAGACCAATCGCACATCGATATTACTCAACAGGTAAGACATCACTGGCCCAAGTGACGAGATGGGTGCGTGTTTGATTGTGTGTGTGTGTGTGTGCTCGGTTCAGGCGTGTTAGTGGCGGCCGTCTGGATGGCCTCCTCAACCAGTCGCCCCACACATCAGTGGCCGGATGCACCACTACAATGAGCCATAACGGTCGTGTGCGAGAGCTGGTCCTCACCGGCAGCAGCCACAAGTTCGTCGCATGGATTGCCCTTTTGGATATGGGAAACGGCAACGGTCAGGCCGACAGACAGACAGCTCTGGTGGTCAAATGTCATGTGTTGTTCTCTCTCGTCTGTCTGCAGTGTTGGTTTGGATCTGGACGACCGAGGCGCCTGCGGCTGGTGTGAGTGAGGATGCGCCCTTCAAGCGTCGCTTCACGATCACCACTCGGCTGGCCCGTGTGGCGCTGGGGCAAGTGGCGCCATTGGTGTTCGACGGCCAAGTAGACGATGACAGCGACGATGATGACGGTGCGGACAGGGGAGGGAGGGACACAGACACATATGGTGGCCATGGATGGATGGATGGATGGCATTTCTTCTCTGTCTGTCTTTGTGTGTGGTGTAGATTCCGACGGCCATGGCGGTGGTTGGGATGATCTGGATGACGACAGCAACGGAGAGGATAGGAGGTACACAGACAGGAAAGAAGGCCCAGACGCCCCCACCACAGATGCCTTATCTTCCACACCGACCCGCATCACATGTGTGCGTTTGTGCGTCTGTGTCGGTGTCGATGGCAGGTGGGGGTGTGTCGGCTGAGGAGGAGCACGAAGACGGCGGCGGTGGCGGCAATGCGTCGCTCTGACGACACACAGAGACCGATCTCAATACTTACTGGTGCGCCACAGACACACTGCAATGTGATCGGCTGGTGCCATGCCCCTCTCTGACTGTGTGTGTTGTGGTCAGGAGGGTGGCGGAGTGCTGTCTGCCGTCCTCTCTCTGTAGCTCGGTGACCGGCGCAGATCAGCTGCTGATGTCGTGTCGACCGAATGGACCGAGTAGCTGGCTGTGTGTGCGATGAAAGGTGGACATGGGTGTGGGCGGGTCTGGGGGTCCCCTCTCCCCTCTGTGTGTGGCCCTCCTCCGACTCTCTCTATATGAATCTGCGTGAGAGTGTCGATATGCACTGGGCTGACTGCCTGGCTGTCTGCCTGCGTCTGTGTGTGCGTGGATGTGATGTGGATGGACTGACTGACTGATGTGAACGTGTTGGTGCGCACAAATCAGTATGCTCACAAACTCAAACACTCCTTGGCTGCGCTGCCATGTCTATCTGTTTTTCCCCTCCCTCTCCATCTGGATTGTTGGCTGGGTGGTCGGTGCTTTTGTTGGGCTGATGATTGACATCTTCTCTCTCTGAATGTGTATATGCATTCACCCAGACAGACAGACAGACAGGCCGATCGATGCACCGCACACTCTTTGTGTTTCCATTTGTCCATTTATCCATTTGCGACGCATTGTTTGCTCCATGCCCACACAGATCACACATACGTAGCCATACATGGCAGTGTGTGTCTCTCTCGCAGTCGTGGTCCATCCACTCACACAGTCACACACACACACACACACACACCTAACAGACATGCTGCACACAAACATACAGGACTTGCTTCGCAGGCCTCTCGTAGTGGCACCGAAGTGTCGATCATGTCTGGCCCTTGACGCATGGGATTAAGAGTGTGTGCGCACTGCTTGTCAGGCCAATGGAGGAATGCCGTGACCTCCGTGTGTGTGTGCGTCTGTGTGTCTCCCTTCCCCCCTCCCTCCCTGTATACTTGTCGATATATCCTTTCCGTCCCAGGGTTACTTGTCATTCGCCCTTGTACTTGTGCGGCTCTCTCGACCGTTTTGTGTGGATGGAGTCGGTGCATTTCCGTGTGTGTGTGTGCGTCGTGACGGACGGAAACAAGCTCATCAATCTTCTTTCTGCGCATACAAGTTTGTCAATGCCCGACGCAGTCAGTCTGTATGTCTGTGTCTGTCTGTCTGTACACCCAAGAGCGAGTCCCCCC